TGCCCTTTTTCAGGTGTCTGTTATAGTTGGTAACCTTTTATTAAACTTTGAACTGAACCCTTCATTCAATTCATGTGACTAGATTGTTCTCCTCCCACTTACCATTCTGGAGGATATCGTATATCGTTAATTTTATTGTGGCGTTGCCAATCCAGATCTTGCAGTGCTAGATCTAGCTCTTTCTCAATTTATTTAGCTCCTGTACATCAATATCTAGGTTTTTTCTTAATATTTATCATTTTATAAATAAGAAAGAGCAAGATGCTCATAAGTGCTAAATGCACTGAGAAAGAGCACTATCTAGCTCCAAAAGAGCTAAATTTACAACACAATATTCAAATAAATTTGAATATTGCTGTCATTTGGTATGGTGCTCTTGCTGTATATTTAGAGATTGATAAAATCCAAAGAATATGCAATGTTATTGGTCCTGATCAGGCACCTCTGCTTCTTTCCCACTGCTGTAACATAGCTTCCCTTTGCCTTTTCTATAAATACTTTCGTGGTAATTGTTCCGATGAACTTTCTGCTATGATAACTAGACTTTATGAATTTAAGCACAATACAAGATTGGTGAAAAGGTTTCATCATTTTACAGTTGAAATGGCTAGATGTAACCATAACTTCTATGCAAATAGTTTCTTCTGTCACACTTCTCGCTTGTGGAACTCTCCTCTGGTTTCTTGCTTCCCAGTCAACTTTGATCTACAAAAATTTAAATGAAATGTCATCTTCTGTCTTAATTACTGTTCATTTATTGTTCTCTCTCCTTAATATTGTGGCTTTTGTTTTTTTTTCTTATAATCTCTAACACTCAGTAACCCTTTGCATCTTAGTGGCTTCATTAACTTGCTTGGGGTGAAATGATTAAAGAAAAGAAAAGCTATTTTTATTAGTCTTTGTGATGTCACTTCCACTGAGCCAAAGTATGACTTTCTTTCACTACCCAACTAGAGATTGTATTCAACACCAAGTAACTTGATTTGTTTAATAAGTATTTTTATACAAATAGTCCATGTGTCCTCTAGGACACTAATTCATGATATGAAAAATCTATCCATGTAGAATGTATAAAGGGTTTAGTTTGAAATTCACAGGTTACCCACTATAATGGACACCTGAAGAAAGCTGAAGCATACAATAGCCAAAATGTTGTGACTATAAAAAAACTAGTTGAAGAAACTGAACTGAGTATATAATTGTAATTTTGATGACATAGTACAAGACATGGTGAAAGTTTTCCTCTTCTATGAAAATACTTGCAGCCATTTTAAACTCTTAATAGGAGCTGGGAATATGCATATCAAATCCATAACCAGCATTTGAAAGTTTATTTCTTTCTTAGATTTACAATTTTAAATTAGGTTACTGATAAGATGGATGTGTGGTGTGGTCTGATGGATAATAGCTTTTAATGAGAAATCGGAAAGCTGAGTTTGAATTCCAGTTGAGTTTGTTGCATTCACTTATATGAAAATACTCTTGGGAAAGGTATGAATCTATCTCTTCTCCCCCAAGCTATTGGTTTAATAGTAGGGCAGACTGGGCCTTATAGCCTTAGTTGGCAACCAGTCTATTGCAGAAAAGATGACAGCCTACTGTGGGTGGGGAGGTTTTCTTCCTTGTCAATCATGAATCAAAAGAGCTGATCCTGAAACAAAAGAGATGATCACCCAAGCATGTATCATATATGTTACTTGACTTTACTGATAAGATAAATATAAAGTCTTTGTAATTTCTGTAGATTCTATGTTTTGCCAGTAAGTGGTGAAGGTAAAACAAAAATAAGTTGTCTTTATAAGATATCATCATTTAAATTATTTATCTACACTCCTTCTTCATAAAAGTAGATACAAAAAAAAAAAATATATATATATATTTTAGGATTGTCTGTGTTGGCTGGTTTGTTTGGAAGTCAATTTATAAAGCTGATTTTTGAAAAGGCTTGGTTTGATGGCATTTTTTCAAGTGGCAGGGTTTCTTTCTGCAAATATCTAAACTTGTTTGATTTAAGACTTTTCACACCATCAGCATGACAGACATTTTCTTTAGTCCTCTTCAAAGAATATTTATAAATCTTGATCTTCCATCACCGGTGACAAATAAAACTATTCCTGAATTTTATTATACCTTTAAAACTCACTTGTCACTGACTTAAGTGGATGTGTCAGAAACCTTGTACATCTGTTTTTGTAGTTTCTATCACTGGTGGCCTTTTGGTAAAGCATCAGTGAATCTGTGACTTGAAAAAGAAGAAAAAAATAATTATCAACACTCACCTGTGTTCTTGTAATTCAACTGCCTTTCTTTTCAGGCAGTAAAAAAAAAGGAAAAAAAAAAGATTAAAAAGGAAAGGCAGGGGGTAGGTGGAAGAAATAGACATACCTATGACCTTTCACTTATATTTATTTATTTTTATTTTTTTTTTTTAGTTGTAAGATTCAGGGTGTCATCTTGTTTACAATAGAAAAAAGAACAAAATAGCTAAAAGCAACCACCATTTCTACTCTAACAGTTTTTCTCATATTTCTCACCTGTGGAACTTCCAGGTACTTGCTTGCCTGAAAACTACAATCTTCAAAAATATAAATGCAATGTCAATCGCCATCTTCTTGAATCACATTCATCTTTTGTCCTTTCCACAATCCTCCCTATACTCAGTCTTCTCTCTCATTTTCACTTCCTGCAACCCCCTGTTTACTAGTGCCTTGCTGGAGTGAAATGAGTAAAAAAAAAATAAAATGAACACAATGCCCTTTTGCACTCTTTTATTTCTTTGTCTCAACCCCCCACCTGTCACTGTCATACTTTTCTTTTGTCTTCTTCACCCACTTGACTAAGTATTAGACCAGGCAGAACTTCCCTTCTCATATCCCTTTATTCCTCTAACCATTCTTCTACAATGCAGTCTTCTCACTCTTTCATCTAATAAATTTCCTCCTCTCACTGTCAGCTTTCAGTTTTTCCTTCCACAGACACCTATTGTGATGGGATGGTGGTGTTAAGCTTACATAGCTTAATTTTTCTTTTCTTCTTCCCCAATCTTCCATATTACAGAATCTTTATTTTGTATACTTATCTATTGTAATAGGTTTCTTGATATATATTTATTAAGTATCATTTTAAGATTGACGTCTGTTCTACTTCATCTCTAGGAAGAGAAGAAAACTTTATTTTGATGCTGAAGAATGTGTCTTAGATTAACTGGTATGGACATGTTTTTGCCTCGTATTTTGACAATCAACAATACTTTTTAAAAAAAATTATGCTTTTCTTTTTTTTTCTTTTTTTTTTTTTTTTTTTTAAAGATGTTTGTAATAAATACAAAAGCCTGGAATATGTGCAAAATCATGCCTGCTTTGCCTGTCATCTCTCTCTTTCTCTCGCCATACCCACCTTGCTCTCTCTTTCACTTTCACAATTCCCATTACTGCAAAATACCAAACTAATTTAAATTTGTACATACTTGGAACCCTGTTTGAGAACTTGTCCCTAATTGAGTCTGCTAACTCCATGGCTGGGTATCTGTTCAGTGTCTCTAGGGCCCCTTGTTGTGAAGTTGATACCCTCCCATTAGTTATACCATGGCAACAGTTTTGACCCACTGTACTTCTCCCTTTGCATGTAAAAGCTATTATTAGATTGTTCTGGTTTGAGGGAGATGACAAAGTGACTTAAAGTTATCTCTGACTAATAAATAAGCTTGGGTTTATCCCCCTCCTCAAAATTCCATATATGAAAATGATCTTATATTTTTCATCTGGGGTTATGCCATATAAATACTGCAATATCAGTTTATGAACCTGGATTGATTCATTCATTTTCTACAGCTTATCACCCCATTCACAGGTTATTTAAAGCCAAAAATATTTTTAGATTGTAAGAATTTTTTTATAATGGTTTATTGATGCACATTGTACTAATTAACCCATAGCTGTGGGGAGAAGAGGTGGATTAATAACTTACCTAAGGTTATTTGTGCATAAGTGAATATAATGAACCCAATGGGAATTGGAACTTGACTCTTTGATTAACAATTCCAAACCATTATCCATTACACCACCCACACGGCCGAGCTTTCTAAGTGGTCACCCATCTAGGTATTAACCAAGTTATTTAGTGGAGTTGTGAGCAAAAATATTCTCATCTTTAAAGAATTACAAAAAAGATTTTATTGTGGATGGACAAAAGAATATAACAGGAGTAGAAAAAATGTTGTATGAACAGAAATCAATTGTTTGCACAGATTGAAAATAGATTTGTTTTTCTTTTAAGTCATTGATTCGATCCAAGTGTCTTTTTTTTTTAAAAGATGTATTTTAATAAAAGCAAAGAAATTTCTGAAAATGTTTGAAAATTATTGTAGAAATCTTTGAAACAAGTGAGTTGAAGTGTTTGGTCATATGACAACTTGCTGGGAAAAAATTGTTTCAAAGGGATATTTCAGTAATTTTCTCTTTTATTGATATTTACATGTTGCAATTATATTTTTTATTACAATCTTAATGCAAAACTTTTTAATGTATTTCATTTCTTATTCACTATTGAATTTTTTTTCTTGTTACTCAATGTGCCAAATGTTTTCCTTAAAACAATTATCAAATATAAAAACATCTGAGCAGTTTAACATTTAATATATTATATAACCTAGTGAAGTTATTTATGAAATTTTTAAATTCTTAGATTTTTTACACTGAAAGATTGATTGCTTGTTTGATTCATTTTCTATGGGTTGTCAACCCTTTGCAGGTTATTTAAAGCCAGAAAATATTTTTAGATTTTTTTTTTTTTTTTAGATAATGATTTAGTGGTCCATCCACATCTTACTCCAGCCATAGATGGAGGGAGAAGAGGTGGATTCATTTCTTCTTTTTTTTTCTTTTTTCTTTTTTTTTTTTTTTTTAACGTAAGTGAATGTATTGAACCCAATTGAAATTGGAACTTGGCTCTCCAATTAACATTTCCAAGCCATTATCCATTACCCTGTCTGCACATCCAAGCTTACAGCACCTGGAATTCCCAAGTGCTCACCCATCTAGGTACTGACCAGGCTTAATGTTGCTTAACTTTGGTGATTGTATTGGAGTTGGTGTTTCAGCATGTGGCCATAAGCATATACTGAAAGAGTTGATTTTCATTAAGATTAATAGGGTTGTGAAAGTGTAGCTTTTCAATTCTGAATTTTCATCATTTTATATTTTTGAATGACTTATTACTTTTTCTTTTACATAACTAATATGAAAGATCTGACTAAATTTTTCTAGGATATTTTTAGGATGTTATATTTGCCATTGTTCTTAGACCTGTTTGAAAAAATTGTAGGGTTTTGACCCCGCCCCCAGTTCATAAAATGTATTATTATATGCATTAATCTAACTCAAAATTACATCCCTCTTAATGATTAACTGACAAAAATTAGGTAATTTAGATATTTCAATATTTATTCAAATCCACAATATATTGAAAGCAAGTGACAAATTGGTATGCTATTGAATTAAGAAAATTGTTAAAAAATGGTATGATGCATGTCGGTGTATGATGCAGCATTTAAAAACATGGGATATAAAGAAAAATGTGAAATATTTTCCATGATAAAATAGAGAAAGTTACATGTAAAGGAGTGAATGGTGGATAAAAATCACATAAACTCTTCTTCTTCATCTTTGTGTGTTTTTTTTTTTTTTTAAATTTTTTATTTTATTTATTTATTAAATTTTTTTTTGTGGGGGGGGGTGTATGCTCATTCCCTTATGGGTCTCGACCAGAGACGTAAGGTCAGAAATAGGATCATGACATTTTCCACTGGAAAAAAAAAAAATGAACACATATTTTACATAAAGTCCTTAGTAAGGTGTGGGAGTACAGTTTTTTGTATTTCTTTAAGGAATGTGCTACCAGGGATTCCTTAAATGAGAATACTGGAATCTTTTCCAATCAATCTGAGGGCTTCAACTGCAAATGTTAATGTCCTCACGTGCTACATTTTTGAGATTTTGATTTCAAGGTCGTTGTATTTTTATATTTTTTTTTTTTTTTTTTATCTTCAAAGATACATTGCAGTCTGCAAGGAGGCACATTTTGTTTTTGCAGTCTCTAATCACAATGTCAGGGCAATTAGCTTTGATTTGTCTGTCTGTGTGTATTGTAATGTCCAATAAAATTGTTACAGATCCTATCTCTGTAACTGGGTCTGGATGGTGATCATACCAATCTCTTGCAGTTTTCTTTCTGTAAGCGTTGCAGATTTTCCAGTGCAGATATTGGTCCACTCAGTCATGCCACATTTTATATTCACTGGGTACCAATACTATGCAATCTGATGCAAGGTGGGCAATTGTTTCTGTAAGCGTTGCAGATTTTCCAGTGCAGATATTGGTCCACTCAGTCATGCCACATTTTATATTCACTGGGTACCAATACTATGCAATCTGATGCAAGGTGGGCAATTGTTTCTGTAAGCGTTGCAGATTTTCCAGTGCAGATATTGGTCCACTCAGTCATGCCACATTTTATATTCACTGGGTACCAATACTATGCAATCTGATGCAAGGTGGGCAATTGTTTCTGTAAGCGTTGCAGATTTTCCAGTGCAGATATTGGTCCACTCAGTCATGCCACATTTTATATTCACTGGGTACCAATACTATGCAATCTGATGCAAGGTGGGCAATTGTTTCTGGATATTTATCACAGAATCTGTATTTTGGTGGTGGTGGTCGTTGTCGTTGTTGTAGTAAATATTAAAATATTTCTATTTTAATTGCTACTGAATATTTTTTCCATATATAAGTAAAGGTTTTTCTTTGCTCATGAAACTTATTACTTTACAGAAATTTCAGACATTTTGTTTTTTTTTTGTTGTTTTTATTGAAATTAAATTAAACTTTATTCAACAAGTAATTAATGTTATATAATTGTAAATGAAATTAATGAACAATTCTGCACTTTCTATATATTTTTTTTCCTCCCTCAAACAACTAACATTTTGATCTTCTGCCAGTCATGACTATTATTGGTTTGCTTTGATTTGGTGGAGATATGCCTACACTCACCTGCCACCATTGATATGAATGAAAAATAGGAGAAAAAAAGAGAAAAAAATTCTGAATCATACTTTCCCATTTGCTTGGATCTTGATAATTTGATGTGACCTTGGTTTTTATATCTTGCATTCAGCTTAAAAATCTCTACATAGGATGCTGAACCTTTGCATAGAAGGCAATTTTTCATTATTTTTTATCATGACCTTATCTTAGTTGCTTAGATTTTAGGATTCTTGAATTGACCTTTCTATCAGATACACTGATAGATCACTTTAAAGATCTGAAAATTTTTCATCATTATAATTTCTTATGCTATTCAAATAATAAATTTTATGAGTATAAGTTAAATTTGTAAAGTATAGGCTTCATTGTTTTAGATCCATAATTTTAGGTGTCAAAAATATAAGGGATAGATGATGCAGTAAAAATTCAATCTTTCTTTAATATTTGCTACTCTCTTAAAAAGATGAGGATTGAGCCACTTGAACTTAAATAAAATCCTGGGAAGTCAAGACCATGTTGCCTGGTTCCTAGCCAGTAGGTTGGTAACATGATTGGTCTATCTTTTATTTGCCATGTCTAATCTTACCTTGGTCTTTGGCAATCATGGATTGATCAACATACAAGATGCGATGGATAAATTGTCATCTAAATTACGCAAAAATTAGAATGACACTGACATCTCATTTTAACATATATTTATGAAAATTACACAAAAATGTCTTGAAATACTAAAGAGTAAATTTATTCAATAAAATCACCATTGACTCAAATCACTGCCTCCAGATGACTTTGGAATCTCCTGCAACTCTTCTGGATAGTCTCCTTGTTTAAGTTGGTGAATGCTCCTATAATCTTTGCCTTCAGTTCATCTTTGGTGTTACATGGAGTTTTGTTCGTCTCTTGCTCAACTGCACCCCACACATAATAATCAAGGGGGTTGCAGTCTGGGAAGTTAGATGGCCAGATGTAAGGGGTGGTATGGTCACAGAAATTATCTAACACCCATGACTGGGTTTTCCTGCTTGTGTGACATGGTGCAGAGTCCTGTTGCTAGTCAGTGTCTTCCAACAGCCATGATCTTGACCAAGGGCAGCACTACCCCCTCAAGGCACTTGATGTAGGCCTCTACACAGTCTGAGGCCCTGTGGGAAGAAGATTCAAGGTATAATGTCACCATCACTAGTGATCACTCTAAACATCTTCATAATAACCATTAGACTCCTCCAACTCTTTCTGAATTCTCTGCACTGTACTCAGAAAGACACCGAAACACTCTGAAATGTTTGTATTAGAGCTACTGGTGTGAATGCCAAGCAGTACATCATGCCATTTCCAAATTTCTGGTGGAATGAATTGAGTCATGGTGCTCTTTTTCTCATAGGCGGTGCCCAACTGACCCTACTATACTTTGCAGTCAACAAAATCAAAAACATAAAATGTTGACAATTTACCCATTGCGTCCTGTCAACAGTATATGTAAATATTTTCATCGTGGTATATTCAAATTAAAAGAATGCTTGACTATTCTACTTAGATCTATTTTACTGATATGCAAAAGTGTTTAATAATTACAATTCATAAGATCTTATCATTTAAATTGCTGTTTATGTAAGCCATATCACAGATGAAACTTATTAAACATATACTTTTGTGACATGGCAAATTCTGATGACAGGAAGAAGGGAAAATAGTTATAATCTAGTGTTAATTGCATTTGAATCTGGTAAATGAAGGCAGTCTTGTTTTTTCTTTCTACCCACTTACTTTACTATTACTTAACTTTTTCCAGCCATTTACATATTTACATTTTCTTCCTTATCATATGGAATATGTTTTGATAGAGCAAGTAAAAAAAAAAAAAAAACTGCTGGATTTTACAATGTTTCACTGAAAATTTTTTAGAAAAGTTTGGCATTTAATGTTGTGTGCTAAAAATTTATTAGAGGAAAATTGTACTTAATAACAAATTAAGGGTAGTTTTACTGTCTAGGGCTTCTACATGTATATGAGATGATGAAATATTTAAATATTGCTGCTCATTTTGATCAAGGTTTTTATTTTTGCAATTAATGTTGTGGATTTTAAAATGGTAATATTAGCTATTTCCTTCTAAGGAAGTATTTGGCCTTCATTGATCAAGCTGCCACTAATACCATCTTTTGAAATTTATAACATCTTTCTATTAAAGCAATTTTCAGAAAAATGTTTTTCAAGTCCAGTAACTGTTCTTTCCTTCCTAACTTTTTGTTTGAAGTGGTGTGGAGTGTCAACATCTTGATTGTCATTATTTTCTCTTTGAGTTACATGTGCTATCCATTTTAGTTGTTACTGTTGTTGAAAGTCCTCAAGTGATGGAGGGAGGGGGGTTCTGTTATTTAGTACAGTTCTTTTTTTGTGATTCTATAGCGCCAGTCAATATGGTTTGAAAAAGTATGGTGCTTTCTAAGACTCACAAACTTCATTTGCTTGAAAAGCCATCTTCAATCATTGATCTGAGAAAGTGATTATATATATATATATATATATATATATATATCTGACAGTTAAGATATTTCTGAATGGATTTGGTGCCATACATGACGAAATAGCTTCTATTAAAATTTCTTTGTAAATAGACATTAGAACAAATATTTTTTGTGTTCTTGTTTAAAAGCTGTTTTACTTTTGTGGATTTTAATCTCTGTTACAACCAAGGAGATTTTCTTTGGCTTTTGGAAGTATTCATGTATATTTTTTCTTTACCCTTTCTAAAGAATAGCTGAATATTTTAAGTTTTCAATTCTGCCTATTCACTTGAAATTTTATAAATGCATTTATTTTAGTACTCCAAGTACAATAACATCTAATAAATAAATTTCTCTGATCTTACTAACTTTTTTTAAATTTTTTTTTTATTTATGTTTAGTAGGAGGAGATTGGGAAAATATTAATAATTTCTGCTATTAAATAGTTAAGTCTCACATGCATGATAGCAGTAGTCTTGTCTACATAAGAAACTGAGGTCAATCCAGAAAGAACTGTCCATGTTGGGGATAATTCAATGCTGACTGCACA